GTTGTTTGTTGTTGTTGTTGTTTCCTATAACCATATAATTAGAATCAAAAATTTTTTTGACTATGATTTTGAATTAGTTTAATTTTGTCTATTTGTTCCAGTTTTTAACCTTAAAATATTGATTTGGGGACAACTGTATCCGAAAAAAAGACAACCAAATATAACACTTAAACAACAATTTACTTGTCTTCAGAACAACCTAAACATATACCAATAAATCAATAGCATTTTGATGATTAACTTAAAAAAGAGAAAAAAAAAACAGAAAAATTTAATTATTATTAATCAATGTGTTTATTAACAAGTCTTTTTTTTTTCTTACCTATATATTTACTGAGGAGAAAAAGAAGAAGAAGAAGAAGAAGTAAAAGAAAGGAAAAAAAAAAAGTAGCTTACATATTTTCTTGAAGACATTAACTGTTGACACATACATTATTACTTCCGTCATCAAATTGCTATTAGTTTTACCGATTATAAGATTCAGAAAATATTTTCAACAACAACAACAACAACAACAGCAGCAACAACAAAAAATGTGCTTCTTTTACTTTAATATTTGAACTTTTTGCATAAGGTTTTTTTTTTCCTCTCAAATTTATTTATTTTCATGCAAAATTTTTTAAACTGTTACTCAACTTCTTCAGGAATTTCAAACAAACACATTTGCTATAATTTTTTTATAAAATTTATAGCAAAAAAAAGTAATAATTATAATAATAATAATAATAATAATAATAATAATAATTGCTGTTTTTTTCTCTATCTTTCAGTAAAGAAAAATTTTTTTTTGAAGTTATCTTTATACAAGAAAAAAAAAAAAATCAAAAAACCGTAAACTTCAACAATAATTGTGTAATGGTCTTTAAGACAACAGCATTTGTTCTCTCACATATAGGATATATCCTGATTTTGCAACCAAAAAAACTTTGCTGTTCTTTTTTTCCATGTTTTTTTTTTTTCATTTTTACTTTTGTATCAAAAAAAAAACTATTTACAGATTAATTATGGTTCTTCTATGCCTAGCATTAAGTGTTTTATCAACAATACCAGAATGGGACGAGCAAGCCACTCTTGTTTTATATTATACTGTACGTTTCAAATATTTGCTGTAGATTTAGCGAAATTGAGTTACTCGATGTTATGTTGAGGAATTTTAGCAAAATACATTGACAAAATATGGCTTTATTTCAAAACAGTTAAAAAAGTTAAAGAACAGAATAACCATCAAAATTGTATCAACAGACTGTGTATTATCTGTTTCTAAAGTATACCGTTTAGGAAATAGTATTTGTATTTTGGTTAGCTCTCGAATATCTATTCCGGGTTTGGTCGGCAGGTTGTCGATCAAGGTACAGAGGTCTCGCTGGAAGATTTCGTTTTGCTACCTCAGCTTACTGCATTATAGGTCTTTTTTTTTTTCTTCTTCTTCTTGTTTCGTTTACTTAATATGTTCTAAACAATAAAACTTATATTTTTGACAGGCTTTCTCAATCATCATAAAGGTTTTCTTTTTTACAATAAAGCTGGTTTACAGCAACAGCGATTAGCTATAAAAAAGAGTTAAGTTATTGGCAAGTAACATGGTGACATTTGATTCAGCAAAGCAATTTTTTTGCTTGAGCAAAAACAGAGGAAAAATGTGTACATTTCAATAGTACAGTATAATATTAGTTAATTTATTTTTTTTTATTTTTACTTTTTTTTTTTTTTTGCAGATATAATTGTAATTACTGCTTCAATAACGGTGTTATGCTTGGGAGCTACGGGACAGGTAAAAATAAACATTTTTAAACAACTAAATAATGCAGTTGTTTGTTTGTCGGTTTTGTTATTTTCTCTTTAATAGAACTTTTAATGAGAATGTCTTTTTTTTCCTTTTTTGAGTTCCCATTATCTCGCTTAAAATTCTCCTTCAACAACTTCAAGTGATATTACATGGCTTTTCATCATTAAGCACTAGTTTTTTTTCCCCCTTTTTTTTGCATGAACTTTTTTGTCCTTTGTTAAGTGATAATCGATAAAGCTGTTTTTTTCTACAAATCTTTTTTTCAAGTCAATTTTCAAGCCCATTTTTGAGGTAATGTTCACTGGGAAAAAGAAGAAAAAAAAAAGAACAACGATAAAACAAACATTTTTCACCAAAATAACAAAGCAATTTTTTAATTATATTCAACTGATCAGCTCTGTTACGAGAAAAAATAAATTGATTACTGTAGCAGAACTACAGAATTGAAATTTTCGCTTCAAGAACTGACGCGCTTAAAACTCTTGCTATAGAGCTGTTACTTGTCTCAAATGAAAAAGGAGAAACAGTATTTCTTCTGTAAATTTAAGTGACTTTTTTATTGCTGAAAAAAAATCGATGATACAGTGAACAAATATGATTTTAAAAGAACCTTAACAAAGTAAGCGACTTCCGAACATTTACTAACAGCAAATAAATATTGGAAAAAAAAACATAAATTACCATTTTTGTTTTTGAATACCTCATTTTTGATTTTTTATTTCATTATTTTTATTTAACCACATAGAAGCAAATAATTTATAAATCAAAACAACAACAACAACAACAAAAAAAAAAAAAAAAAAAA